TTATCAACTCATTATTTTATTTGTTTATTTATTTTTTCTGCACAGTGGATTTAGATTTCCCCATATCAGATAATACTAACAAGCTGGGAGGGTGAAGACCAGCAATGCATCTTTTCAAATTGCTGCTAACGTCACTGGACAGCTCAACACACTAGAAGGAGAATGCTAACTGCCATTTCTGTTACAACAGCTAATGCATTGGCTAGTATCACGATGAGCCACCCGGAGGAGTGAGGGTCAGCTGAGGGTGTCCACAGTGTGATAATAGACAAATAACAGACAGGGTTGAAATATAATGGAAAACAGAAATTAAGTGTCCGTTTTCAGTGCAGGGTCAATGTTCAGAATACATTTGCCTTTTAAATATTTAGGAGGACAGTTTTAGAATACTTACCCACTAGATGCAAAAATATATACTATCTTCAAATATAAAATTCATCTTTATAATCGTGCTTTTTCATTAGAAATTTTAAAAAACATTGTACAGTGTGTTAAGAACTCAGTAAATGGCTTCTTTTCAAACACTGTTTTTCCTGTTAATACCTGAGTGGACTGATAAATCAGTGTGATGATCAGTTATTAATCTGTGTTGCTGAAATCTTTTGTGAGATGATGGAACTGAACACTATTCTCAGTAGTGGACATGTTCATGAGGAAATAGGCTTAGAGTCAGTGTTGTACTGGACTCATGCATTTGTTTCATGGCAAGTTACATGCATACCATTAACTGAAAATCACATAGCTACCCACGTAATAGGTCAGTTTTCTTATTGAGATATAGCAGTTTGTTTGATTAGTTCATGAAATGGTAGTGCATTGTCCATTATGGGAGAAGTAGTGGGATTGTGGGAGTGGTGGGAGCGGCAGTGGACTGAAGCAGGGACTGAAAGCCAAAATAACACTAAGGATTTTGAATCTTCATTTAAATTATAAGTGAATTTTTCATGAAACATATTCAACTAAACAGAAAACTGCCGACCAGTAACAGCAAGGAACAATAAATTAAATAAAAATTACAACAGCAGAGTTTTTCCCATATGCCTTATTAATATGTATTGTAAACGTGTTCTAAATGTATTCTGAATATGTAACTTTTTTTGTATTGTAGTAGAATACATTACTGAAAACATTCAGGACATATCATCCATCACTACTTTTTCAAAGTTTTCTGCCCAACTTTGTTAACAGATGAGATGATTTAAATCATATCACCAAACGGTGCTGGACTGGAGTTTAATGCTTCTGCTCTAATGACAGGAACAAGTGATCATAAGACCTCATCACAAAAATTTCAGCAGTTCATTGGTTCTCCAGGAGCATGGTCAATTTCTCATTAAATACCCATAATGAAATATGTGAAGTACAAAGACTTTTCGAAAGAGCTAATACATACTAATGAATAGGCTTAAGATGGTGTTTATTTACCATTCCACCTGTTAATAGCATGTAGATGATGTGATAGACAGTAATGTTTAACTTAAAGTGTCTTTTCACTTATGAACTTGGGCAGGAGTTCTAGATGGTGTCTGCTTCAGCCTAAAAGGCCCTTGATGGTTAGAGGTGGGACTGAGAGGTAGAAATGAGGATCAGGGAAGAGATGGGGAAGTAGTAGGGTACAAAAACATTGTCATGGGAAACAGAAGGGGTTTTGCAGAAAGTTAGTTAAGAAGTGGGAAGATGGGAAGACCTTCAGGTATGCCTCTCCTCCAAAACTTTAGTTTTTTCATAACTCCATCTAAAACCAACCCTTGATCCCTGTAGAACATCTGTGAAAGAGCTTTACAGTACCTGACACCTAAACAAACCTCTTTATGAAGAAAAGATGAAGATCCCTGGAAAGATTATATCTAGAATGTGACAGTGTAATTAGTTTGATCAGCTGTGTACAGACAATCAAGTGAGCTATTCAAATGATTTAAGCAGTGATTGTAAAAGTAATGTGGAGTGACTAAGCCAATAAAATGTTGAAAACTCTTAAAATATAATAAAATATTATTTTATTGTAATTATTTATTTTAAAAGAAAAATAGCTGAAATTCAATTAACATTTAACTTTTTTCCAGGCCTAATTAAGCCAAAACATCCAATACCACCTAGTCTTCATCTCATAGAAACCACAGAAACCCTTGCATGTCAGAGCACTGAACCGTCCTAAACTCTGGTTAGTTAGACTGTAATATCTTGTAGTCTTCTTGTTATGCTTACCAACACTAGCAGTGCTCTGTGTCAGGTTCTGTGTCAGGGCTAGTGTCAGATGACGATGTGTAATCATCCTCATTCTCAAGAGAAATATGAAACCTATTACAGCTGGCATCCTTGCTCTTGATGTCTATTCTGATAAAGTCTAATACTTGTTTTAAGTTAGTATTCATTTTCCAACATTTGTTCTGTTTCTAGAAGAGGTCTCTGAAGCTCAAGAATGCTATGGGCCCTAAGTAGCTACTGGTGTATCACCTGGGGCTGCTACGCATATCATAGTTTCAGAACCACTGTATTAAACAAAAGGCTTGTTTTGCAGCACCAACTACTCTTAAGAGGCTTATTGAAAAGCAGGGTATCATGTGGTATTAGTACAATGTAACATCCACTCACCACAGTGGTAGTAAAAGAGAAAGGTTATTATCTTGATGACAAGACCACTTCCCCATTAATCCCTCCGTAAATTGCGATATCACATACTACAGAAAGTTTTTTTAAGTCAAAGAGCTGTAAATTCAACACAATTCTAATTTTCTCTCTTCTAAATACATGAGATGTAAAAGTAAAAGAAAAGCGCTGTCCATATGTAGATATGCAGTACTACATGCAGTATAGTCAGAGACCACTCTTCATTTATTTATTCCCATTTAAAACAGCCATTAACTAAATTCATTAATTTTTCAACATTAAAAAAAGAAACATATGTTACAGAAAATTACACAGAAGTCTCAACAACCAAAAATAATGTTAGATTGTTCAGTATTTTGTGTGTCCACCCTGTACCTTTATTATGGCTTTTGCTCTCTTTGGGAGAATTGCTTTCAGTTTTTGAAGAAACCTGCAGGGATATTTTTCCACACCTCCAAAGTTCAGTCTTTGAAGTTGGTTACATTTTCTGCTTCTCACTACACAAATAAACCCAAACAATTTCAGCTTCTCATTACAGAGATAAACCCAAACAATTTCAGTGATGTTGAGATCTGGAATCTGAGGAAACCAGCAGCTTTTTTGTTTGATTTTGAAAATCTTACTCATCATAAATCAGATTAAATCAAAAATTTCATTCTAATATTTTCCAACCATTCGAAACTATTCAGAACCTGTTCTTAAGTTATAGAAGTGTGTTATAAAACCTTGTGCCTGCTGGCGGGCCCTGGCGTACAGGGTTAATGTTCTATTAACAACTGGTTTGATGTATGATATTATGCAGTGCATGCTCATATATGATGAGCTTTATATGCAGGCTGCTCCGTACTTTATATGGAACATCACACACACACACACACACACACACAGAGCCAGATGGTGTTAGGGGACCTGTAATCCCTGCCTTGTTCCCCCTAGTTCTGCCACAGCTGGGATTATACAGTGGGCCAATCTCCTGTCAGCCGTCAGCCCTCTCTCTCGCTCTGTCTCTGCCCTCTCCCTCTCCATCTATCTCTGTCCATTGATGAGAATGATTGTCATTCTGTCAGTCTCGTGAGAGCGTGTACTACCAGATCATTCATTCTCTTTTCTCCTCACTGAAGGTAAGAGGGAGACGGCAGCAGCGTATCTTATGCTCTGAAGGCTCTTATGCTCTATTTTTAATAACTCTGACACTACAAGTTTTGAACTGTTTAGTAATCTTTAACATAATGTTGTGTAGACCTCATACGAAACTTATTACTTTGAGTCTGTGCATATTTAACATAGGAGTCAATCTGATTGGTTCAGGAGGGATTTGTATGGTGCGTGTTTTCTGTTAATAAATGGTTTTCATTGATGGCGTATTAGTTATAAATGGTTAGAGGTGTATATAAAATTAAATATATAATGAATGATAAGATGAGCTTGTGTGAGATGATCTGTGAAAAAGGCACTTTTTGAGTTAATTGAATGTGACGCATTCACTGTATACTATTTATTTATTTATTTAACCCACTTTGAGCTTTTGCCTCAGCACAAATCTGAAGACTTTTTCAAATCGATCCAACCGTGTGAAAAATTTAGTTTTTATCACTTATCATCACCTAAATTAAAAAGTCTTTTGGTTGCGTAAGACTACTAATTGTAGCAACACAATAAAAAAGACTTTTCCATTTTTGTTTATGAATAAAAATGCAAAAAGTTATATTACTGTTAGTAATAATAAGGGACAATGTCTGACATTTTAATTATCACAATTATCACAAGGTGTTTAAAATTCACAAGTTTTTTATCCCTTCAGCAGCCAATCTAGAATGCTTTGATCCAGTTCTTTATTGTTACTGCACTGTATTTCATGAGTATGTGACCTTCACTAAGCTTTGCAGCCAAAAAAACACCAAATGTATTTTTTTTTGTTCTTGAATGTGTGCTTTCTATGTGCTATGAGAGATAGATAGAGAGAGGGAGAGAGAGGGAAAGAAAGAGAGAGAGATATTAATCAGACTTGGCTTGGAGGCATTTTGACTGTGCATTTAACCTGGAAAACGGGGACATACTGAATGTTCAGTGTAAGGCTATGCTGTAGCTCTAGTTGCCAAATGTAGGGAAATATACCCTTTTTACTACAGTACTGAGAGTGTTTTAGTAAATGCATCTCTAGCTATCAACCACATTTAATGATTTTAGTTTATAGTTGTCTGAATTATTGTTTAATGACATCTCTCTCTCTCCCTCTCTCTCTCTCTCTCTCTCTCTCTCTCTCTCTCCATGTCTCCCTCTCTCTCTCTCTCTCTCCCTCTCTCTCTCTCTCTCTCTCTCTCTCTCTCTCTCTCTCTCTCTCTCTCTCTCTCTCCATGTCTCCCTCTCTCTCTCTCTCTCTCCCTCTCTCTCAGGTGCATGTTTCCTGTGCCTGGTGGACGTAGTACCAGTCAAGAACGAGGATGGCGTGGTGATCATGTTCATCTTGAACTTTGAAGTCATGACTGACGACAAATTGCACGACCCCAACCAGGAGCTCAACCACCGACTGCCTCTCCCCTGGCGCTCCACATGTACTCCTCCTTAATATACTACTTAATATTAACTTAGCATTAAAAATACTTAACTAATATATTAATTGGGTAATCAGTGACCAGTTTTGGAGTAACACCATAACACCATATATATATATATATATATATATATATATATATATATATATATATTTTTATATATATATATATATCCTGCTAAACAACACTGAGTCAATTTTCCTTCAGAAACGGATCTCAGTTGTCTCTTGCATGCACTTTTTTATTTTTTAAAATATATAAAAAATTATTTTGGGTCAGGTTTCTGCTGGTCATTCCTGATTTTAGTCAGCATTGTTCAAAGTAAAGGCAGGAATATTGACCTGTCATTTAAAATTATGTTTACTATGATTATCTTTTAATTTCTAAGTAAGTACTGAAGAAGGCTATTGATTTTTTCTGTGTACAGTTGGTTCATATTTGAATATTTTTACAGTGTAGTAATAAGTAATGAGTAATGAGGAAGTAATAAGTAAACTAATCCCAGTTTACAGTTTTAGAGAAGTAATTAGTAATTTGTAATAGAGTAATTACCCCAACACTGTCAATGACTTATTAATTTCATTACATTTTATGGAGCTGTGTCCATAAGAACTTTGCAATGAGTCATGGAATTCACTATTAATTGATAGTTTAGTTTCTCCTTTTGTTAACCTCTTAAAATCCCAGGCTTATTACATATTAAGGCTTTTTATTTAGTAATTACAGGAACTTCAGTGCCAACTGGCCAAGCTATTCTTAGGTTATAGAAGTGTGTATTAAAACGTGGCCATTTAGGGGGTTAACAGCTTATATACTCATTAACTGTGGACAAACTCCTGGCTATTACAAAACGACTGAGCTGACTAGTGTGTTTGCTCTTATAAAGAAGTAACATAGAAACTTACTAGTACTTTTTGACTAATAACTATGTTAATTAATTATCTCCCTCTCACTCTCTCAGATCGAGTGCGGCGTATCCGTCTGCGTCTGCCTCTCCTACAATCCCACAGTAAAAGCAGGTCGTCTCTGAAGGACGACGCTGAGGCAGGCCGCGGGGGGGTGGGCGTTGCTGGCTCAGCGTGCTCCAGGCCGGCCAGCAGTCACGAGTCTTTGGCCCTGGCTGAGCTCCTGTCCCTCCCTGAGCACGAGCAGGTCCATCCAGCCACTACAGCCACCCCATCCTCCTCACTGTGGCCTGAGGACCACCGCACTCTGCTGAGCAGTGAGCCTGCACCACCCCCATCAACCCCTCCACACCCCTCTACGCTACCGCTGGGCCAGTCTTCGCCCCGACCGCAGAGGCTCAACCCAGACGCTTCGGCCTCCAACTGTAGTCTGACACACAGCCGCTCGCGGGAGAGCTTCCACAGCATGCGCCGGGCATCATCTGTGGACGACATTGAGGCCATGAGGCCTGAGTGGGACCGCAAACACCGCAGCAGACCCTCCAGCAGCAGCACCGGTGAGCAGGAGACACAAGCTTGTCCATACTTATCATGTGTTTGAATGTTCAGCAAAACAAAACCTGCAAAGGCAGAAGTCATACATATTTGCCCTGAACTTTTTGCTCCTATTCAGCATTGATAGTCTCACTTTGGTGTGTGAGACAGTTCTAAATTTCCACAACTGCGACCGCTGATGGCCTCTCCTCTTCCGCTATGTATGCCAGCCTGTGGCTACTGAATGCAATCAATGTGCATTTCTCAACAGACTACTATTACTCTACAAATGTACTTAGGCCACTCTCTGATGTCATTGTAGGGGCTAATGATGCAGCATTTCTGCTGCTCCCCTTTGTCTCTTGCATGTGTCTTCAATGATGATGGGCTAAATGAAGGAAGGTCTTGAATGAGGCAGGTACTGAGTAAGATGGTTGCAAAATGAGGTTAAATAAGGCACTGAATGAGGCAGAAAATTACTTATATAGCTAATGAATGAGGCAGGTACTGAATGAGAATTGCTAAATGAGACATTTGGTATATAATGAATGAGGCAAGTGCTGAATGGAACAGGTGGTGGATAAGGTAGGTACTGAATGAAGCAGGAACTGAATGAGGAAGATAATGAGGCAAGTGCTGAATATAGCAGGTACTGAATGAGACAAGTACTGAATTAAGCAGATACTGAATGAGCAGGTACTGATTGAAGCAGGTACAGAGTGATTCATTTGCTAAATTAAGCATTCATTTGCTGAATGAATCTGAGTGAGGGAGGTGCAGAATGAGGCAGAAAATCATTTATATCGGCACTGAATGAAAAATGTGATGATTGAGATCGGTACTAAATTGATGAGGTACTGTTCTGAATGAGGCAGGTACCAAATGAAGCTGGTACTGATTACTAAATAAGCAGGCATGGATGGAGGAACTGAATAAAAAAAGAACTGAATGAGTCAGATACCAAATGAGACGTGTTGATTGAAGCAGACTTTGAAGGAGGCAAGTTCTGAATGTCTCATGTCTCAGGTACTGACTAAGGCAGGTATTGAATGAGGCAGGTGTTGAAGAGAAAGGTCCTGACGGAGGCAGGTTTTAAAGGAGGCAAATGCTGAATGAGACAGGTCCCGACTATATAAGGTGCTGAATGCATGTGGCAGGTACTGAACGGCAGAGGTGCTGAAGGACGGAGGTACTGAACAAAGCAGGTACTGAATAAAGCAGGCACTGCTACTTTCAAAGTACAGCTGCACTTTAGCTAAAGCAGCAACATCACCTCAACCCTCTGATCAATGCTTCGCTTTTCAGGTGCAGTGAACAACAAGTCCAGCATCCTGAACTCTACCTCTGACTCTGACCTCATGCGCTACCGCACCATCAGCAAGATCCCCCAGATCACCCTCAATTTTGTGGACTTTAAACCAGACCCCCTCATCGCTCTGCCTCCTGGAGAGATGGATATCATTGCCCCCTGCAAGCTCATCGACCGCACACATAATGTCACAGAGAAAGTCACGCAGGTGAGGAGTGAGCATTTTCCTCTCTTTAGGCTGTGTTCTGGAGTCAGTGTCTTTAAATTCTCACATTTTCTTTTATATAATCCTAGCCTTGATGAATTTGATTATTTTGGTGGTTTGAAGAGAAGGTTGCAAGTTGGAGAGACTGAAGTTTTGGGTTATTCTTGAGAAATGGCAGTCTGTTTAATGTCATGCAGTCTAGCTCATATGCTAGCATGGTTTATAACATTTAAAGAAATGCTGGACATGAAAGATTCTGGTAGATTACTGAGTTTTGAAGGATTATCTGATATACTGGCTGTGCCAGGTTTAATAATGCGCTAGTCCTGTCTTGGCTGGTTCTGCCATTTCGGTCTTTACCAGATTTAGAGGTTCGTAAGCCATCAGCTTAGTCTAGCTCGGACCAGGCATGTGTTTCTTTGCCAAACAGAATGGTGAGATTCCAGGGCTCATCACTCAGATGGCAGCAACAATGTGCTGAATCTAGAGCAGAGTGGCGCACCAGGTGATTTTGTCTTGGCAGGTCATGAGTAAAAAGATTATATCATTGCTAGCTGTTCATTTGCTCAAATTAGACTTACCTTAACCTCTCTTTTTGCCAGTTGTATGATGATTAGTACTGTGGCAATATACAGGTTCAGTCATAACACATAATATTAGTTTAAGAATTGAGAAAAGTCTTTTGATCTCTAGTGTAGAACTACTGACTTTCTCCACAAAAAACCAGACATACTGCCCAGTCAAACTGCAGTCTCCAACCACATAGCTCTAATTTCCATCACAAGGACATTTGAGATCAGTGTTTCAGTCTTTGGATTTAGTGGAACTCTGTTTCCTTGAGTGGGTCTAACTGGGTTAAGCTAATGTACCTTTATTATGTGCTGCTGGCCTGCTCTCTCTGTGCTGCTCTGCAGAAATGAAAAGAGCGATTGATGGCTGTGGGTGAAATGATGATAGATGAGGCTGCTGGGACTGTACATTGTGGTATGAGCCTCTTTAGGCTAATCGAGTTTGGGGAGGGCAGATTCGTGACCGATGCGCTCTGCCACTGCAGCATGCGGTTGGATGTTTGCTCATGGTTTTGTGATGTGACAGTAATATTCCTCAAAGGTTTTCAGGGACAATGTGCATTAGGTTACAGTACACTCTTAAAAATAAAGCCTCCTAAATGCTTCTTAGCTTGGACGTACGGTTTTAGGGAAAACTTTCAATTGGTATTGAACCTTAGAATTATATGGAGGTTCTTTGAACTGCAAAATGATTCTTCACACTTACACATCTCATTTCCATGGTTCAAAAATGGTTCTTTTAAGGACAATCCATTGAAAGGTTCTTTAGGGAACCAAAAGTGGTTCTTCCATGGCAATACTCCACAGACCCCTTTATGGCATCTTTAATTTTAAAGGGCTCATATCTTTGAAAAACAAATTTCATGTAGTATTTAAACACTGATGTAATTCCACACTGTTCACTCGTTTTGAATGCATCGTTTCTGTGATGTCATTAAAAACAGCACCTTTATATACAAATATCCGCCTATTCAGTCTACAGCAGTTTAGCTCGACTATTCGTACTGAAGTTCTAAAGAGTGTTTTAGTCCAGAATATTTTTTCAATGAGGTACAATACAGGGCATCCAATCAGAACAGAGCTCAATTACGTATATCAGCAAACACAACAAAAACAGCCTGTGTAATACTAAGTCATGAATAGGTGATGGAAGATAATCATGTTAAAATGAATTATGACCATCATTCATCTGTAAAACTACATAAATGTGGATCCACAAAAGTGGACCTTGAGAAAAAATACAAAAAATTGTAGGATATGTACCCTTTAAAAGTGTAGGAAAAGCCTTGGTATGTTGAAACGTTCTTCACACTCATTTATTTTCAAAAGTGGTTGTTTAAAGAACCATTCACTGGATGATTCTTAAGGGAACCAAAAGTGGTTCTTCTATGGCGCCGTCGAGTCCTTTTTGGTACCTTTATTTTTAAGAGTGTAGGAAAAACCTTTAAAGCCTGTTGCATAATGTCGAGGTTCTTTGAACTTTAAAACTGTTCTTACAAATTTCACATTTTTTGTGTGTGAATCAGAATCAGTTTCACTTCACAAAGGGTGTTTTACATGCAAAGAATTTGTGTTGGTGAGTGCACACATGTATACATGTATGACAAACTAATCAGACCAGACAAGTATACAGTTATCAACAAACACTAAAAAGAAAAAGAAAACATAAATGAATGAAAAAAGAATAAAGGTTTTTAAGGGAACTAAAAGTGGCATCCCTTTAAAGGACCCTCGTTGGCATGAATGTACATGCATTTAATAAAAGTCAGTCACTCATTTGACTGTTTTAGTTATGTAATGGAAAGAGCAGTGGAAAATTTGCATATGCATATTAAGTTTGTTCTGCCATTAGTATTTTGGGTGATGAAATTTATGATCGACGACATTTAATATTTCAGATATCCAAAACTAAATCAGACATCTGTTCTTGGTACGTTTAAAGCATTCAGCAAAGATTAGGTAAGATATAGTAGGTTTCCAAAAACAGAAAAGGAATCCACTATAAAGTAGCTGTTCCTTTTCCTCTGCAGTTCATATAGGCCAGGGCTAACATACACTACCAGTCAAAAGTTTGGAACTTACTGAATACACACTTTTCATCATTTTAAAGACATCTTCATCTAAAGTCTTATCCTTAAATGCGAATTTGTTTAAAAGATTAATACCAATAGTAAATTTGATGAAGACGATGTATGACATATTTAAATTCCAAAAAGGAAACAAATATTTTTGTAATTCCCTCCAACTAGTGGTTCTCGGTGACAGTGTATCTTCTTCAGTACTGTTGAAAAATCATCTCAGGTGGCTCCCTGTGAAGTTGCTTCAGAGATTGCCAAGTTTCATCAAGAGAAAATGGGGTTAACTTCTAAAAGAATCTGAAAAACGAGATAGTTTTGGTTTGTTCAAGACTTTTTGGTCTCTGCCTTCCATAGTTTTTTCATAGTTGTGATGTCTTCAGTCTTATCCTGAAATAATTAACAGTGAAAAAAGTGTCCAAAAGTGTCCAAACTTTTGACTGGTGCTGTATATCACTCACCTCAGAGATGAAAGGATGTTCTGTTTTTGGCTTTCGTATCACAGTCTGTAAACCATTGTGACGCTTTTCCTCTGAGATGTTTGATACATGTTGGCCCCAGTGCAGCATGTCTTGAGTGTGCTATGGCGTGTGGCGTTTGTGTGTATTGATGAATGAACTATTGAACTGCATGAATTACTCCACTTTAGCACTTGCTAGCTCGCAGGCACACCTGATTGATGGCAGTCATGTGGATGTGGCTTTTAATTGAGCCATCAACGTCAACTGCTCACCTCTCCCAGAGAGCTGTGGCCAGGCTGGTGGGGGACAGGGTTGTCATGGCGATGGAGATCAGTCTCCATGTGATGGAGCGTTTCTGACTGCTCAGTCTGGGCTTACAGTCTGATTTGCTCTTATAAAGTTATGATTCAACTGTTTTGTCTGGTTTTCCACAGCAGAATCAGATAAGGAAGAATTCACTAATGATTGCCGCAGTGAGTGTTTGAACACAGTGAAATGTTTATATATGACTCTGCATGGTAGATTTTCTGTGTAGAGTTTCTGTGTGTGTGTGTTGTGCTTTAAGCTTTCACTTTCTTGGTTGGACTGCTCATTTGGCCTCTCAGCTGTTTGATACATGCTGCACAGTGTGTTTCATTCAGGTGAAAGCAAGGGCCATCCAACCCTGCAAACTTACTGCAGCCACAGCGTGAGATGCTTTGCAGAACACAACGCATACCACTGCTAATTTACCCAGGTTTGTAAATGGACAAGGGCTGGCCCGAGCAGCATTTTACAGCTTTTTCTGAATCAACTCTAGAAACTATGTTTGTGTTTAAAAATTAACCACAACTTTAAGTATGTTTGTTAGTGCATTTCAAAATATATCCAGTAGGCATTTTGAGACTGTTGTAAGTTGATTATAAGATCATTTAACTTCTAGATGTTTTTACTTGTTTTAAAGGAATTTAATAAGTCAAGTTATCTCATTTTATTGGCAGATAATTTTTCTCGCTAAACATATTTTATCTGACAAAAATGTGGAATAATTTGACTTACTAAAATCACTTAAAATACCTAAAATTGAGAAAGTTTAGACATAGACATATTCACCTGCCAAGATACCCTTTTTTAGTGTAGTCAGAGCCCAGCTGCTCGCATTTTACTGCAGAAGCCATGATTGTAGCCCTCTTGTTCAAATGCAGCTTTAATAAGTGTGTATCTCTATCATGTGTATCTCTATCATGTTGTTAGTGTTTGTCCATTCTGGTTAGTGATTTTTATTTTTTTTTTTTTATTGAGTTATTTTATTTGGCTACTTCACCGTTTTTTATCATGTAAAGTGCTTTCCGAGCTACAGTTTTGTCTGAACTCAAGGAGGACCACCCTAGAAGCAGCTTCACAGTTACCCTCAGTTGGTGCAGCTTGGCTGCTTTTACCTGGTACTGAATTTAGAGGACAAGTTGCAAGGCAATAATTAGAATGACTAAACCTTTGATCACCACCACCTCCCAGAATGCAGGTCTTGGTCTGGGACCTAAAGGGTCGCTGGCTAGAGTGAACATCACTGTGCTACACCAGACTCCTTTGCCTGGGAACGCCAGTGTTCCTCTCCTCATCCACAGGCAGAACTCACTACAACAAACAGGTTTGAGGCACTGAGCTCCCTGATTTTAACATTCCCCTCACCAGAGACCAGTGGTGTTTGGATTTGTATCACTATGCCTGCAAACATGTGATGCCTCTGTGGCATACCAACCTCTTATAGTAAACTTTGCACTGAGCGTTCTTAGTGTCATCTAAAAGCTTCAAGTGCTCCCACATGACTTCTCAGGCATCATTTAGCTTTAGTGGTGCTGTGGAAAGTGATGTTTGTTGTGCTCTGAGGCAAGGTGGCATGGATACCTGCCATTAATTTC